CGCGGAGCGGGGCAGCCCCTGGGCTCGACCTGCCCTCGTCCAGCCGCGTCTCTGCACCCAAAAGCAGCTGGGAGGGATGGCCGTTTCTAGCAGAACATCTTCCTGGGAAACGGTTTGCAGGACAGGGCCACTAGCTGTTTTTATACAGCTTAATATTCTGGCATCTGGAAAATTAAAGCTGGATGAGTGAATAGAGGTAGTTTTTCTTGTAGCTTTTTGTTAATGGTTTTTTTTTTTCTTGTATCTTTTATTTTCACTTACCAAATGAAAAACAGCCTCAGTTCCTGAGAGGTAATTCTTTAATTGATTTTCTTTTATTTCACAGCAGACGGATGCAGTTGGAGAAGGGAAAAAACCAAGGCTGAGAAGGTAAGGGAAGGAAAAGGCCTGCTGCAAACACAGCTCGCTTCCTAGTGCTTGACTCAAAGCTGGATGCGTTTCCCTGTTTTGGCAGGTGGCAAGTGAAGCCCAGCCCCGGAGCAGTCCTCACGGTGTCCGTGGCTAATCCTCAGGCGAGCCAGGCTAGCGCGTAAGTAAACGAGGTGATTTGTTAAGATGGGAACCCCACAGAGGCCATTGGAAATCCCTTTAGTATTGCTGCAGTTTTGCTGCTTTTACATCAGAGCGGAATGAATGGTTCGGCCCCAAAACAGTTGGCAAGTGGTGTCTCTCTCTCAGGCTTATCCGAAAGGAGACTGTAATTGCCTGGGTGCTTGTCCATTATCCAGGAATGGGCGTAATTTCCATTCCCGGTTAATCGGGAAATGCCGGCCAGGCTGCGGGAGCTCTGCATGGCAGCAGGAGCTGGCACCCAGCTAGGGGGAGAACGAAGGGGAGCGAGGACACGTTGGGAAGCCCTGGACACCAGGAGCGTCCCCTGCTCGCTCTGCCAGGCCCACGTTCCCTGCACGGGGGCCTGTACCATCATTTCTGCAGATGCAAACAGGCTGTGGCCAGCGAAGCCCCGGCAAGCACAGGGGCTCCACGGTAGCCACAGCGAGCTGCCGTAGCCCGCGCGGGTGTTCACCGAGGTGCTTCTTCCCTCCGCAGGCCCGGGGCCAAGCGGCCCTTCCCGAGGAGCCCGCGGCTGCCCAAGCCCCAGCCCAAGGGAGTGATGCTGAGGTTCAACTTCCGCGCCATGGCCAACCAGGTAGAGGGAGGCCGAGGGGACGCGGGGCGCCTCGCACCGTGCCGCAGCCTCGTCGCTAACCCGTTAACGCCACGCTCACGTCTGCCGGGCTGCCGGGTCGCTTTACCTCACGTCCGCCGGGAGGAAAATCCCCGTGCCGGGGGGTTGCCAAAACTGACAGCGCCTGAGAAGACTGCGCGGCACCTACCGACTCGGCCCCGTTTTCCCCATGCTGCCGGGCCCTCGTGGTGTGCCCTGGCGCTTGCTCCCGGCGGGAGGACGCTCCGGCTCCTCGGGAGCACCCCTGGCCGCGGGAGGATGTTTTGCTGGCGCTCCGTGTGCTCCCCGCTCCGCAGGGACGTGTGGCACCTGCTCGGGGCCGCCTGCTCTCCCGGTGCCGTGTGTCCCGCGAGCAGGTCCCGCCGGCTGCGCTTCTTGTCCGCGCGGTTGGGTCTTACGTGACGCCTTGCGCTCAGCTGCCGTCTGCTTGCTCCTGTCCTTGCCGAGGATGCCCCTTGTGCCGGGGCCCCGCGCGGAGGTTTTGCAGCCGCGCGGCCCCGCGCGACGAGCGGTTTTAATCGACTAACCGGCTGGGCAGCGCCGGGGGGCCGCGCTCGGCCGTGGCACTGACCGCTCTCCCTTTCCCCCGCAGACCAGCCTGACGCTGGATGAGAGATTCTCGGGGCTGCGGAATAAGCGGCGCTTTGCAGCGGCGAGGAGCGCGGGCCGGACGGTCACCATGCCGTAGCGCCGCGCGCCCGGCCCGGGCACCGCTCGTGACCCCGGCGCCCCGTAACGCGCGGCTCCGTAAAACCCAGTAGGTTTCCTCCTTCGAGATAGCTACTTCGGCGAAGCGCCGGCTCCTTCCTTACACCCCGAGCGCGCAGGACGGGGCACGAGGGGAGCCCGCTTTGCTGCATGCCCCCTCCTGCAAGAGGAAGGGGGGTCCAGCCCCAGGATATGCCCCGGGTTTGCAGGACGGATGCCACCCCTGAGGCTTTCCCAGCCAGGATACCTGCTCCGTATCCATCTTTCCAGTGCTGCCACCAGCTAGGGATTTCCAGTGGGCTGGATCCGGCCCCCCTGCAGCGGTTGGGGGTCTCTGCGCCGTTTCCCACCCCCGGACACAGCCTGTGGCTGCACCCTCGGCTAGAACCGCAACGGTCTGTGTTTGGTAGAGCGCTTCGCCTTTCACACCGAGTGCCTTTAGGCTGGGCTTGGAGTGGGGAAATTAGAGGAATTGGTGAGATGTGGTTAGTTTTTCTGAGCAGTCTTGTACGAGTCCAACGCACTGAATAAAAACATAATTAAAAAAGTCAAATGTAGTGTGCAGTTATTCACCTTCCTTCTGCAAGGGATCGGGGGCTGCTCGGGCTGCGTCCACTGTTTAGCATTGCCAGAGCCCCCCGGGAGGGGGGTTCATAGGCATCTTGTGCCACCTTTCCTGGCATCTCTTCTGCTTTTAGCATTATCAGCAAACTACCAGGGCAGACCTGGCTCCGAGGGCATCCAAAGCAGGAGCACAAACCCATTTCCAGGCTCATTAACCTAGGAAAAGACATAGTCTCTTAATGCAAACTCTGTACAACTCACCTGGCAGCTGACTGAGAAATGCTGCCGTCACACATGGCAGCAGCTCTGATTTCAGTTGCATCTTTGCTGTAAATTTTGACAAAAGATGGCAGGCTCGGTCTAAAAACATGCAAATTTCTTGCACGAATTTGCAAAGAGATGGAGCCATTCACCTGGGAAAGGGGTGAGTGGGTAGCTGCTAGCAGGATGCTCGAACTTGCCCCTGCCAAGTAGCTTTTTTTCAGCAGTTTTCCACCTTATCTTAGTTTTAGGGACTCCTTCCATTAAAATTGAGCACTTAATGATAAAAGCTACACTTTTTTTTCTCCTTTCCAGCTTGATTCCCCCAAAGGGCCGTGTGGATTTGCATGAAGCAAAGGTGGAAAGCGCCGCCCTCAAGGTTGGTTTTTCCAGCCCGGCTCTTTGCCCTCCGGTGGGATTTGGGGAAGGGGGCACATCTGGGCAGCAGGAGCAGTGCCACATGGGCAGGACAGCGGTCCCCTACCCAGAAGGTGGCAGCAGCCTCCTGTCCATGGAGCCCTTGGCTGGGGGCACAGGGAAGAGGCAGCCACGTCCTGCAAAAGAAAAAGGTCTTTTTGTTTTATTCCATTTGCTCGGATTTTCTTCCACTCCTGGTGGTCTGTTTGTGTGTGTCCCCAAGTGCTACATCACAGGCCACTGAATAGTCTGTTCTTAGCTTCTTTAAGCCCTATGCAATTATTAGACCGGTGATAACAGTCCCACTTGCTTGCTCCCTTTTATTTTTAGGGAAAAAGAGCCTTGGTGCATCCAAGTGCCAGGGAGCTGCTCCCTGCCTCCGAATGCTTCCTTGGTACCTTTTCCAGCTCTTCTCTACCTGCAATCACGGGGCAGGGGTGCTATTTGAGCTGAATTTGTACCAGGGCTCGGCTTTGTTTTCTCTTCCTCTCCTGATCATTCCTCACATTCCAGTTGCTTTTTGACCCAGAATAGCAATTGCAGGAGGAAATCCAAAGGCACATTCGTACTTGCTCTTTATCTATATATTTGGGCTTTGCTGGTTTTGTATAAGCACTGTCCAGAGCTTGTCCTTATTTCTCTTTTTTCCCCTGGAAAACAACCCTGTTTGGGTTGTTATGTCCTTAGCCAGCTGCAACACACCAACCCCAGGTAGATGGTCGGGCCCAGGGCTGCCCTGGGCTTAACGTGGGCCACATTTTAGCAACGCTTTCAATATGTCGAGTCACGAGGCTTGCTGCAAATAACGCAGCACTTCTGGAGGGAAAAGGGATCCTTGTGTTGCCCGCAAGATGTGCTGCTGATGTATTTATATCAGCTCCAGCAGCGTTCATTAAAAATAGATGGTAATTGCAGCACTTTTTAAGCAAGGCGATAACAGAACGTAGCCATAAACAGAATGTGAAAATGTAGCAATTTCCACCCAGCATCTAGCGCTAATGGAAGGGTTTATCTTCTAATTAAAGCCCCCTGATCACATCTTTCTCTGTGTGACTGTCTTTGCTTGAAAATAGACTAGGTGATGCAGATCGTACATACTCTGAGACGATACCTGTTCCAAATTACAAGCTGGTTCTCTGCAGAGCTGCCGTCTTACTGGCCTGTTAGTGCTGGCCAGGGAAAAATATTGAAAATGCGGTGAATTGAGGGTGGTTGGCACGCTGGTGCACACGCAGACCGCAGCACGCGTGTGCACAGACCACGATGCACGTGAAGACGAGGATGTATGGCCCATGGTGCGCACGCAGGCCATAGTGCATGGACGTGGAGGTTTGTGGGTGTATTTGGCTATTTGCTAATTTATAGCTGGGTAATTTCCTGCTCGTTGGGCTGCTGAGGGCTGCAGATACCTCGGGGCCGGGGGCAGAGCCGCTGTTATCTCAGCTGCCGCTTTCCCGCTCGGCCGCGGGCACAGGGAATGTCCAAGCACCTCGGGAAGGGGCAGGGAGGCACCGGGAGCAGCCCCCGCTTGTTCAGGATTCCTGAGGATGCTCCCACTGCCTCCCTCCCCATCAACTGCCTGCAGACCAGTATCTTTAGGATCTTCTGGACATCAAATCCAAGGTAAAACATCACCTTTCCTTAGAGCCTTTCCTTAGAGCCTTTCCTTTCCTTAGGAGAGAGAATTTCTTTAAAATACCAGAATTTCTTTAAAATACCTAGATCTAATCATTTTAGTGGCAAAGGTGATTTAGCTTCGGCTGCTCAGCAAACCTCCCTGAGCTCCGCAACAAAACCAGGAATGTCCTCGTGAAGATGCTGTGTGCCACCAAGGGATGCTGCTGGGATCAAGCTGGGAAGCGTTTTTATATGGGCTGTTAATTATACACCAGCATCGTGACAAGAAGTGGGACATTAAATCTTTTTCCAGGTTCTTTTGTCTCTGTTTTATCTGGTTCCACACCCGTTTGATAATTTATGGTGCTGTTCCACCCCGTATCAGAGCCTGCATTATAAAGGTCCCTTTCCAGTGGCTGTTGTCCCCATCGGTTTGTTTGCTTCTGCCTTCTCCTTCCCTGTCAACCACAGGGATCCATAAGCTGCATGTGCCCATCACAGCTCTGTCGGGAGAGAGGGAAAAGTCAAGATATATTTATTTTTAACAAATATTCAGCCAACAGCAGCATGACATTTATGGCAAGACCCAGCTCTGTGGTACCCGTGGGCTTTGCAGCAGCAAGAACTTTCCTCCTGCCCAAGCCTGGATGCATTTTTTGGGTGGTACAAAAATGTCCCCCGTGCCTGCTTGCTGCTGCACAGGCAGTGACAACTTCACATGTGCCAGGGCTTTCAGACCAGGTCCCATTTTTGTGGCGTTTTAACCCATATTTAGACAAAAACGTTAGCAAATGTCTAGTGGTCACTGCATTCTGTTTGGCTCAGTCCTGCTGACGTGGATTAATCATGGTTACTGAACTATAGAATTGCTCGATAAGTTTTTTTTTTCCTTTTCCCCCACTTTTTTTTTTTTTAAACTCAGCATTCCCAGAAATTGCTGGTTATGTTTTAAAACAACTGACAAAGTAAAACAAGCACAATGAAAGAGAACGAAAAGATAGCGCCACGGGGTTATTTTGCTCAAGTTGCTAAACCATATCAGCACCGTCAATAAATTTTCACTCCCTGTGCTGAAAGTTGCGACATTTCGGCCTCAATAGTGTTATTTGCTTATGTTTTTAGAAGCTGCTTCTGGATGGTCTCGTGCTTAGGGGCAGCACTGCCCTGACATGGACTTTGTGCTGCCTCTGCGCCGGATGGGTCAGCAAGTGCATGTTGAATGTTATCATAAGAGCTGAATTGCAAAGTGGTGAAATCACACGAAATCACGGGCTTAAGAGGCACAGCTCAGCTCATTCCCATTAGAGCAAGCCTGAGCCCATACTCTGTTGATGACATTTGACAAGAAAATCTGTTATTTTCCAGCAAATACCGAGGGAAGGGGAAAGTCAAAGGCGAGGGGTATTTTTCATCATTAGATCCTGTCCCTGCACTTTCTCTCTGCTCTGCCCAGCAAACACAGAGCTTGGACGCAGTGGGAGAATTCACACACGTGAGACGTGAAGATTTCCAAGCTTTTCAGAAGTCAAAACCCTCTAAGGCTGGAGCCCATGTTGTTCTGGTGCAGCTGCGCTCAAGCTGCTGGTTGTTATATTGCAAACTCTTTTCATTCCACACTCCCAGCTACTTTGCACACAACTCATTTTATTACCCTTAATGAAGCCCCTTCCACTCCAGCTCTTCTCTTAATGCCACAAAACCCCTTCCTAGCTAGCTCCTATAAGTGCAATTCATAGGGCAGCCCGTTGCCTGCTGGCACAGAGCTCACCATCACTTTTCACATCATTTTCTAGCTCCTACGGCGACTGTGTGCTGCACTGGCAGCTGCAGTGGATTCATTCTCATTATCTGATAAATGCGTCAGCAGATCTGAGAAAGCAAAAGCTTTTCTGTGCCACCAAAGCCAGCCAATGCACGGCTGCTTTCCTTTCAGAGAAGTATGGTTTGCTAGAATTTAGCAGCGCTTATTGAAAAGGGTTTGTGTCTCCATTCAACTTTTTTGTCTATTTTTAGGCCTAGAATTTAGTGGTAACACTCAATTAGCTTTAAGTGTCTGGCTGAGCCTGAATAGGAAGTTTCTTGCATTATCTCTTAGAAACAGGCCATTTGTTTCTGGTGGCATTCCCCAACGAATGCAAGTA